AAGGTTAATAACAGCATGGATGCCATCTCAATTTCAAGAGGGTAGACTTCCCTTCAGATAGCCCAGATGGGAAATGATCATGTCATCTTTTGACCCTCACAAACAACTTCCTTCAGGTTTCATGACAGAACTAGTCAGTTCATTTTAAAGACATTTCTATGAGATATCAGAGATGTTTGCACATGTTTTTTTATATGCCCATTTCAAAAAAGGGAATTTAACATCTAAGCTACTGAAAAAAGGTTAGTCACTATACTGCATTTTTCATATTTTCTTTCAAAAGTCGTTTCCTTTCCTGAAATTCTTAAGTAGTTCATAATGTGATTTTACTTTTCTTCTATAAATTACGTCTCTTCCCAGGCATGAATAAGAAAGACAGAGAAATTAGTATTCTTTATTACTGAGCTGTGTCTCCTCATCATAGAAGGAGACAGATACATTGTTTGACAGAAGCCAACATTAAAAATAATTTAAAGCTGAGCCCTATAGTAATGGAAAATCTTGCTGTCTGGTTTGTTTTATATATATATATGTATGTATGTATATGTATATATACATATAGTCCTAGGTGGATTATTTCTTTGCTAGTCTTAGTGACACACAATAGTGTAGATTCTGAACAGTCTCCCTGCACAATCTCTCCTGTCCTTCTCAGACAAAAATGAGTCTGCATTTTTTTATTTCTAAATAATTCAGAATAAGATAAACCTTAAAAATGCCACAAAACCAAGAGGAATTTGTAGTGGAAACCAAATACAGTGCAAATTTCTTTAGATGGGATTACAAATCAAATAGAAAAATATATTTTTCTACCTAAATAACAAAGTAGACATCCACTCTCATCTCTGTCACTTCCCACAGGCACAGTGGACCATTCATAAGTAAAGTAGTCAAGATTGCTCTTATGTTAAATAAAAGAGTAATTTAAAGTGAAATTTATATCAGCAAGCATATTTAGATAAAATAAAAAGGAAAGAGTAAGATTTACAAACTGAGTGAGACATCTTAAGTGGGTATATCATCAAATACTGGTATGTAAATCGGACACATAAAAAGACCTACATAAACACATAATTTTTTTATCACTGATATCCCCAAGTTGCCCACCATTCTGCTTGTCCAGAGCTACACCAGATAATTAGGACTGAGGGGCTCGATACCTAAACCTAGCTGAGATTCTCAGACTAAGCAGTTCCCTGACGTATGTTCACTGAAGCATATAAGCTCTCTTACTGCACATTGCATAGGGAGCTTTAGCACCTGGCTCACTCGATGCAGATTCACACCCAAGTTCTCCACATTTTAAACTTTAAGTATGCAACACGGAGGCTCGCATAATCTAAGGTTTAATGGCTCCAACTCATTAGAAAATGTCTAGAATGCATTCTTATGCAAGCATATTAAAACAAAACTACAAGTTTTCTGCACAGAAATCCTGCAAATTTTGCTTTAAAGTAGTCAACTGTGAATGCGCTTGCATTTCAGTCATTAATACCAGTTGTTAATTTCTAGATTTATTTATTGATGTGCTGTTATCAGATATCCTACATCCATAGACAATAAGAATAGTATTTAGGTGAAACAGGAATAGCATATCTGCAAGAAATGAATTAACTGTTAATGAAAAAAAAATAACAATAACCTATTGCTGACACAATTCTCCAACACTACCTCAAAAGGCACTATCAACTGGCATACATATGCAAACAAGTTCAAACAGATTTCACATTGCTAATATGGAACTGGTTTATCCCACAAATACACAGTGTCCCCTGCTGTGATGAAAGGAGACATGCCCAACATGTTAAAGTTATGCTGAACAAAGAAAGAGATTTTAGGAAAAGACTCAATTGTTATTAAAATACAATGCTAAAATGTGGTCTCCACAACACCAATTCCTATCAGTGAAAGCATTATATCCTTGTTATTTAATTGCACCCTCAATTTGATATTGAAAAAAAAAATGCAAAAAAGAAGGAGCCACAGCATAATATTCTGAAAATTATATTATTTGCTCATGAAGGCATTTATCAGAAGTCCACAACTAGGATTTTCATAACCAGCTTCAGTCATTCCATAAAATACAAATCAGCAACTTGGCTACAAGCTATGTAAAAACAAACTAACAAACTAACAAACAGAAACAGAAATAACTTTAGCTCTTTCTGATTAATTAAAGTTTTATGTAGACACCAGTAAACACTCTGTTTAAGGTGATATGTTGAAAGATCAGCTGATAGTGTATATACACCAAACATCACTAGGAAACATTTTCTGGGCAGATACAATAAAATGTATTTCAAAAAGATTTCAAAATATTATCCTATCAAAATAATCAAAAAATCTATCTTAACTTATTGAATAAACTATGAAAAAAAAAAAATAGATATATACAGTACTTTCAGACTACACCAAATGCTTTCATATTGATTTTGCAACTTTTAGTACAAAATAAGTAATAATTATCACCAGAGGATTGGGGTTTTTATAAGCTACACCTCCAAAAAGCCTCCATTTCTGTAAATTTCACTGGTCTAATTTCAACAAGGTCAAAACTTGCTTTTTCAAATTAAATTAAGGATTTGCTACTATTGTCCCATACTAATGCCACTTCTAATTTAATAGCATGAATTATTTCTATTGAAAGATCATTTTGATGGAGAATTCCAAATCAAGTTCTACCATTAGCTCTTCTAAGCTTTAAGTAAATTTTAATTGTATTGCTCAAGGTGTTAATATCTTCTTCAGAAAGTTATTAATTTTCATAGAAAAAGAAAAATACTAAGACATAAAGAACTATCAGTAATACTTTTCAGTTTAAAAGTGTTCTATGCTATTATTTCTCTTTTATTTCAAGTGGAAAAAAAAAATCTTGAAAAATCAGTATGTTTACCACCTCTGTAGAAATTGCATTCAGTAATTTGTGTGTGCTAATCTTTCAGCTAACTCATATCTGTCTTCTTGTCTATGTTTTTTCTATTATCTGAAACATTGCTATTGTTTTGAAGAAAACAATTGAAACTGGGAAATATTCTCATTATTAAACACCTTAAGTGCTGCATGTATGGAGACCTATACAGCAAGTCTGTAAGAAGTCAGATAAGAATTTCAAAGAAACTTTCTTTGAAACTAATTAATCAAATAAATTATTTGTCCCTAAGTCTCTACATAGATGTCCAAGAAGTTGAAGTAGTTAGAGAAAAGCTGGAGCACAACTCATAAGAAATGATGTGTCTTCATTCTCAACTTGCTTTTATATGGTTTGTTTTATTGCTATTATTATACATTCCCAGTAGCATGGAGCTTTGTCAGATCTGAGTTTTGGTTTTGTCTCAGCACTCATGAGTAATATTCCTCCCCTATTCTCTACAAGGGCCCCCTTCTAGCTCTCTCATAATGCCAGTGGTGGCCTCATGGCCTACATCAGAAGAGACACCCACTTGGTGCTCAAGCAGCTGCTCCTGTCACCTCAGAGAAGCAGGATTAGGATTCAGATAACTCATTTAGGTAAATTATTCTAATGAAAGATAGATTTGTCATGATATGCACGTTCAATCTGATTGGGAAATAGATCAAGGCCCCCTTATCAAAAAATAGACTACTTTCAAAGAATTTTTTTTAAATGCCATGACCTGAATTCACTGTTCAGAAAGCGTAGCTGACAAAACTTCTCCTTTGCAAGAGCAACAATTTCATTATATTACCACTAGCAGCTGTGGTTTGGTACAAACAAGAAAATGAGGCATTTACAGCTTTAAAATGCAACATAAACTATGTGCATGATGATCATGCCAGACTAAACCAATAACTTAATTTCAGTAAGATAACCAATCTGCTTGATAAAATATCTCTCTGGCTTTCAGCAAGGTTTTTAATACCACACGTGAAAAAGCTTGTTAAAGTTGAAAATCTGTAGGCTAGCAGTGAAATTGAAAGGTGAATAAGGAATGACTAAGAAGAAACAACAGTAAGTTGTTTTGAAAGGTAAAACATCTGGCTAAAAGGAAGTTAACCTCTGAAAGGCAAATTTTGGCATTAAAATTTTGGCACTAAAGTATTTATAAGCTGGCAATGAAAAAAGTAGGATGGAAATGTAAAAAAGCTTCTATCACAAAAAAAAAAAAAACAAAAAACAAAACAAAACAAAAAAAAAAAAAAAAAAAAAAAAAAAAAAAAAAAAAAAAAACTTCTCAGATGGAATGTGCCAAGTTTGTACAACTAATATAAGAGACTTGTTGACCTAGAAATTCCCATTTAGTCCTGGGTTATAAACTTTCTTATCCTTCGTATACTTTTCCTAATTTGTTTATCTTAACTGTCCCTCCTCATCAGCATATCATCACCGTTCTCTATGTATACCAGGTGTTCTTAATACACAATTATCTCCTGAATTACCTGATTTGAATTACCAACCTACAGTCTTAGGATTTATCGCTCATGAGCTAAGTGATAACGTCCTTCACTCTCAAAACCCATGTAAGCTATTTTTAGTGAAATAGTATCCAACGTATTTCTTTACTGTTCTACTGCTGTGCTTGTTTTCTTATTCTTACTAGTTGCCCTTCCTAATTCTTCTTCACAATTTCCTCCTGCTTTTCTGGTTTATTTTCTTCATGATCATTTGTTTTCCTTAGCAAATATAAGGAATGCTGATGGCAATGATTCTTCTGTGTCTGTTGTCTGCCAGATTTATAGTTCAACTTTGCTAAATCTTGGATGAGTTTTTCTCCTTTATCCTCACCAAGTTAATGAGAAAAGATTTTATTAAAAAAAAAAAAAAACTATAATATAGAGTAGCAAAAAAATAGGGGGTAAATATTCTAGTATTCTTGTTCTTACCATTTATATATTCTGGGTTTATCTGAAACTCATCGTGCTTGTTGGTATGGGTAAGATGTGTATAATCAACCCCTCAACCAAATTTCTTTTCTGTTCTGTGTGCAGGTGTTCTTCAGGCAGCTGTTCTGCATATGAACTAAAAATTTAAAAAATAGCCTTACCTTTTAGGTGGATCTGTGATAAGCTTCTCTCTGCTGGAAACCGCTCTCATATACATCATGCACAAGCCTTACAGGCTAAGAGACCAGTACCTAATAAAAAATTCAAAGTCACTGCACGTAACAGGTAATGAAGTGCTGGTTCTAGGCAGCAGCACAGGAACTTCAGGTGTTTGCTTAATATTCACTAAGCATATTCCTAAATAGTCCATGCACATTTAAAAAAAAATTCTTTCACATAATGCTGCACTTTTTTAGATCCTATAAAAGACACTTGTTCAATAATATCCACTAAGTAGCTGGGCCTGGGGAAAAGGTATCATTTGCACAAAAGAATTAGAAAGACATTTAGTAGAAAATGACATATCTTTGAATCCGGCATTCCAGTAAAACACTCTAAGAACTCAAGCAAAGCAAGTTAATGTTTGCATTACTTGTATTTCACTTGCAGAAAAAAAAAAAAAAAGAAAAAAAATTGAATTATGAATTTAAATATATTCAAAATCTAAATGGAACAGGCAGAACACATAAACTGGCTAACACGTAATGACCATATACATGTATATAAAAATTTCAGCCTAGTAAGAGAGCTCTTAAATTAGCAAAATAACATACATGACTAAAATGAAACATACAATAAAACATGAATAAAATAAAATATGAATATATTAAAACACACTTAAAAACTATTTTTCTCTTCCTACAGTTCTAGAGTCACTTGGTTTTCACAAGGTTTTTCTGCCCATACTTTGTACACTGTCAACTTGTAAAGGAGATAAGTACAGAAAATTAAAATATAAGTGGAGAAAGAATTTAAAGTATACAATAGGACAACAACAGCATGAAAGAAATTGAGGTAAATTGAGATTATCAGTTCTTGAGATCAATGAAATCTTAAAGTATGCCTCATAATTTTAAAAGCCTTTCAGATGGTCATTCCATTTTTTTAAAAAAGTCATTGCTTTGTCTTATAAAAACAGACAGTTCAGAGACATTTTTATATAAAGTAGCTTGCTGAAAAAGTTATTTTAAAATATTGAAAATATGTATATAAAATATAGGCTGGATCTGTCATTCTAACTCCATAAGGACAGCCTCTTTCCTTGTGAGAAAGCCTCCAACATAGGTAAATCTACATAGTAGCTACCGTGTGTGTAAAGTGTTGTAGACTTATAATATTTTTAGAACAAAGAGTAGTGGACATCTCCTTTCATTATAATATACACTAACTGCTACTGCATAACCAAACTTAGGCATAATTCTGTTCCACTCACACAAAATTCAGAGAACCAGGAGCCACCCCTTCGCCCCTACACACACACTCCAAAAAAAACACAGAACATACCAAAACTTCTCAGTGTTTTTCTGACAACACACTTCTGTAGTGTTTTCTCTCCTTTGAAATTCACATACACATCCGCACATGCACAAACACTTGTGTATTTCCTTAAATTCCTTGTTTTTAGAAGAAGTCAAGAAAACACTACAGGAATGGAAGAAAAAGTAGAATTGCTCGGATTTAAAAATATTCAGGCAAGAGACTGGCTGCTCTTAAACTGCTGGATTACTTTCCCATGTCCAGTATTACCCCTCACTCCTCAAAGGAGATCGAAGGACTTGCCAGTTTTTCATGACAGTTAGGACCTTGAAAGACAAGTAATGGTCATTCTGCTGCAAGATCTTATAACCACAAACTTTAGGAACTTGATATTTAGTTTGAGCAACACTTTCAGAGATGTGGATTTTGAAAAATGTTTATGTTCCTCCAGCTCACTATGGCATCTTTTGTGGTAAAATAAACTTGATGTGCACACATGTAAGATTCATACAGAAGAAATGCCATAAGGGAGAAAAACGGGAAAAAAGGAAACATCTCCATCAATAAGCAAATATGGGCCTGGCACAAGAAACATATCCAAACCAGCTCAGGCTCAGGTAGAGCACTATTGTGAGTCTATTTTTGCATGCCCGTTTAAATTCTGTAAGCCTCCATAAATGCAGTTATCATTACCATTGTTGCCTTATCATTCCCAGTGATTGCTCTCTTTCAGTCAAGTACAAAGGCAGGCTGAATATAAATGTTTTGTCATAAAACTGCTATTCAAACAATAAAAAGGGTTATAATAGTACTAAAAAAATCACCCCCAGGGCTGCAGCACAGACTGGTAGTATGCATATTCAGGCAGCACAAAGCAGTTCTAGTCACATACTTCTACCCATAGGACCCTTCCACTGCATCTGTACTTAATATCAACATGTTGCCCAAAGTGATCCAGATATTATCAGGTAGACAACATATACAGAACATTTTGCCGTCAGATTCAATAAGAGGAAAACAGTTATATGCAGATATCTGTATTTAATTCAGTAAATATCAACAAATTCAGCTTAAGGATTTGTCTTCAACTTTAAAAAAGAAAACTGCTTCAATTATGTTTTCTTCCTTTATCTGAAAATGCTTTTGTTGGTCCTAGTTCTAACCATGTAGTGCCACCCAGGGGCCAACTGCAACATGGTTCAACACTGCCATCTTGCCAAATAGTCTCAAAAAAGCATTATGCAATACTTCCCAGACTGTCTACTCCACAGGCTTGAGTATTCTTTTTAAAATGTCGTAGAGGCTTGGCTTTCTTTTTTGTAAAGACAAGAGAGGTAAGGTCAGGTCAGGTAGGGAAGGGTGAAAGAACATGTAACAAGCAAGGGACCACCAAAACAAAACAAACTAATTACTCCCATAGAGTGACAGAATGGCTACCTGATCCAAAAATAAGGAAAATGGAAAAAATAAAAATAAAAAATAAAAAGAAAGAAAAAGAAAAGAAAAGAAAAGAAAAAGAAAAAGAGAAAAGAAAAAAAAAAAAAAAAAAACAGGTAGAATTTAAAACAAAAGGTTTATCAGGACTGAAAGCCCACTGCCCTGGGTAAATGTGCTTCCTTGCAACAATAAAGACAAATAAAGTACTAAAAAAGGATAAAGCAGGAGATTACAGACCTAGCTGTGGTTTGATAAATGGCACTCTACTCCACTCTGCTTATTGTGTACTTCATACCTCGCTCTTGAATATGGAAGAGAATTTTATTAAAGATTTAGCCACGGTGGTGGTGGTGACTGGCTCACAGTAATTTTCCTACAAAGTAGTTTAATCTATCACAGGGCAGACAGTGCACCTTCTTACCATGTATCATATCTGTCTATTGAGTAAGTGCTATCCAAATCCAATTTCTTTTCATTTTTGGAACCCGTGATGCATATTCAAGATACATTTTCTTTTTGTCTGTGGCCTAAATTAGGTGCTGTATAAAGTAAAAAAAAAAAAAAAAAAAAGGAAAAAAAGTAATAAAAAAAAAAAGACTGGACTCTGGAGGCTACATTTCCTAGTGGGCTTTTTTTTTTTTTTTTTTTTTTTTTAAGATTCAGCATTGTACTAATGATGCAAAACAATGAGCGTGTACAGTTGTCACTATATTCACAATACTGCCTGTACACAGCCATGCCTCTGAGTCCTTGCCTCAGCACTTACAGGTGAAACTTGCAAAACCTCTGCAATAAAGTCTGTGTTCCCTTCAATTTTTCAGTGCTTGTGTTGTTTATTTAATTAAAAGGACAATCAAAATCATTGTGCTTTATTTTACTGAATGATCTAAGATCGGACAAATTGTTGCTTTAGGTAGCCCCACATAGAGTTGAGGGATTTAAAAATTACAAAATGGGTCTCTTTTGTCCAACTAAGGCTTGGATATAGCTTCTAACAATTTCTTCATCAAAACTGTAAATGTAAATTTTAACTGCATGTCTGCTGCCAAAGGGGAAAAAAAAAAAAAAAAAAACTGGAAGAGAAATTCAAGATGTCTAATCCAAAACTGATTGTAACATTTAAAGGACATTTTTTTTGGAAAGTGCCATTAATAGAGAGTATGAACCCTCACAGACCTCAGCATGAAACCCATCAAATGTATACACGGGCTGCACTGTGGTGGTTTTACTCAGCTGTGTAGCTGAGCTCCACTGTAACTGCTCTCTAACTCCCCCTTCTCAAAGGGAAAGGGGAGTGAAAATATGATGAAAAGGGTTCAAGGGCTGAGAAAAGGACACGGAGATCACTCAGCAATTATCATCATGGGCAAAACAAACTCAGCATAGGGAGATTAATACAATTTATTGCCTATCACTAGCAGACCAGAGTAGCAAGCTCAATGCAAACTAAAAACACCTTCCCCCCCATCCACCTTCTTCTACCTCATCCTCCCAAGTGGCACAGAGGAACAGGGAATGGGGGCTGTGGTCAGTCCCTAACGCTTCGCCTCCGCCACTCCTTCATGGTCACTCTCTGTCCCTCCCATGGGATGCTGTCCTTCCCAAACTGCTCCCACATGGTTCCATACCACGAGGTCCATCCAACCCCAGGAACAAACTGTTCCAGCACGGGTCCCCCATGGGCGGCAGCTCCCCCCAGACCCCCTGCTCCTGCGTGGGCTCCTCTCCACAGGCTGCAGCTCTGGCCCAGGGCCTGCTCCTGCAGGGGCTCTCCATGGGCTGCAGCCTCCTCCAGGCCACATCCACCTGCTCCACTGGGGGCTCCTCCACGGGCTGCAGCGTGGCGATCTGCTCCATGTGGGACCTGCTCCACCAGGGGCCTCTCCACGGGCCACAGGGGAACTGCTGCTGTGTGCCTGGAGCACCTCCTGCCCTCCTGCTGCACTAACCTTGAGGTCTGCAGGGCTGGTTCTCACTCTCTCAGCTGCTGTCCCACAGCAGGTTTTTTTTGTTTGTTTGTTATTTTTTTTGTTTGTTTTGTTTTGTTTTGCTTTGTTTTGTTTCTTAAATCTGCTCTCCCAGAGGCCCACCCAGCGTCTCTCCCTGACTCAGCTCTGGCCAGTGGCGGGTCCCTTTTGAAGCTGGCTGGAGCTGGCTCTGATCTGCCATAGATTTATAAAATCATTAGGGTTGGAAAAGACCTCCAAGATCATCTGGTCCAACCATCACCATACTTCCAATGTCACCCACTAAACCATGTCCGTAAGCACCAAGTCCAATCTTTCCTTAAACACCCCCAGGGACGGTGACTCCACCACTTCCCTGGACAACATGGAGC